GCTTATAAAATGACCGTAATTACATGCGTTAATATACATTTAAAACCTAAAGAGTACATTAATTGGCCTCATAACTGTAAAATGCTTAGCTGAAATATTTTTAACTGTATTTCGTCTGAACCCACTTTTTACATGGGAAATGTATGCTAAAATGTAATCCAGTTCAAAACAAGCTGACATCATTACTAGCCAACAGTACAGCTTGGTAACAGCAGCCTCTGCTCCTAAAACCTGAGAATATTTTAGATAGATAAATATACAAAGAACCAGAAATGCATGGAGAAATCAATGTTTTGAAATTTTGGTTATAGGAAACCTCCTTAAATGCGATAAAACTGCTGGAATAATAAAGTATAAAATTAAAAAGTAATTTTGATTTTAACAGTAATAATGACGCAGAAAGAAATGCAAATCATATTGCTGGCTACTTTTCATTTCTACCTGATATGCGCTCCTCAGCTAAATAAGCTAAGCTTATCAGTTTTTATTCATGACCTACCGTTATCATTTCACTCTCAAAATCAAATAAGAAGTAAAATACAGACCTCATATGTCATTGTTGCAAAAGCAGATTGGATAGGCAATTATTTTGTTTATTTTGTCATAAAATTAAATGACAATTTTTTATAGTTAATATGACATAATAGGCTGTGCAAAAAAAGGATTATATATGTTGTCATTACTAAACTAAACCCGCAACGCGGTATTTAGATTTCACAGAAAATGAACGATCATTTAAATTGGAAAGTTTAGCGTCATCATAACGCAATTTATTCATAAAATTAAAAAGTCGTACGAAACAGTAAGTAAAGTCAGCTGACGAATAGCTCACTTATTAATCGTGGAAGGAAAACCATTTAATGATCGCGAATTAATTAAATAATATTTGCTTAAATGAAAATGAAAAATGAAATGTGGCCAGAAAATTTATTATTGATTATGATATATTTTGATATGTCAATCTTTCGGTGAGAGCAATTGTTAAGACTTGAGAACATAGAGAGCCATCTGAGAGTCATCTAAAAGACAAGGTTGGCTCTTTGTGCTAAAAGTAGACAGATATTACCTGGCAATCGAAAGATACTGCTAGTTGCTGGTGTTTACTCGAGAGGTGAATGCTGAACTTGAGGTGATTGAAAAAGTAGCTTCTATGAATAGTTTACGTGGAGCAATCACATGTGAAGATGTTTTCGAGGAAGACGAGGAAATGTTAACCCATTCTGCAATATAGTCAGTTAAAATGTGTCACAACTGATTGTGGAAAAAATATGTGTATAAGGGGAAAATGATTTATTGGGCAAAATTTTAAAGCTTGTGGAAATGCTAAACATCTGGTAATTCATTGTATTATTCACCAACAAGTTCTTTGTGGGAAACACTTCAATCTGTCATGTGTCAGTAATAAACTTCAATCGCTCTCGTGGATTTAACCATCTCCAGGTTCCTAGATTTTTAAGATATCGAAGCTGAATATCCTGACTTTTCTTATCATACAGCAGTTTGATGGCTCAGCAATGGGAACGTTTTGTTGAAATTCTTCGAACAGAAAGTCAGATATATTTTAAATGAGAAAAATTGCCCACAATCTTCATTATCGAAAAGCGAATGGTTACGGAAATTAATATTTGCCACAGACGTCATAGTGTATTTCAACTAATTCAATTAAAAATAACAAGGAAAAGAGTACTCATATGTGAAATATATTACACCGTTAAGGCATATCGCCGAAACTTTGAATTGCAAATAATACTACATAATTTAACCATTTTCCATGCTGTAAGAAATTTCAAATATTAACAAAATTCCCATTCCCGCAAGATATAATTCGCGCAAGATACATTTTCTGAATATATAGTAAAGTTACAACAGTGTTTTCTGGATGTTGATGCAAGTGCAAAAGATAGATACATCCCTGTTTCAAAATCCATTTGACTCTATAATTGAGGAGCTTCTATCAGACCTTCAACTGGAAGTGATTGAGTTTCAAAATAATTAAACGCTAAAAAAGGCCCTAACTGAATTTTATAAATATCTTTCAGAAGACAAATACGCCCAATTAAAATCCTATGCATGAGCCTGGATATCCGTGTTTGAGAATAGTCTCTGTGCTGTACTGTCAAGGGAAACCAAATTAATGTTCCCCGTGCTGATAGTTCACGCTGCTAGAAACATCGACACACCGTATGAGTGGATACTGGAGATACTGCAAACATGCCCATTTCCGGACTAATGGTACGTGATATGGTTGTATGGTTTTGCAGGGCTGACTTCACAATATGTCTGATATTGTCTGTCGTTAGTCATTGGAGGGAGTTGAGATCCTGCGTGCCGTTCAGTAAAACCCTCAGCAACCCACTAATTCCATATTCGCATGACAGCGGTTGGATGTTGACCAGTACGACGGGCAATATCACGGAACGATAATTCACACTCTCGATAGGCGTCGATACTGCCTCTATCGACGATCATTTGCAAACAACTTTAATGATTGGAAGTACTAATTTCGAACTCTTGTATGATGAAATATTATCTCAGAAAAACAATTATAATCTTCACATTAGAAATTTTAATCTATTTAATAATAACGTTTCCAATACAAAATATCACTGCTTAATAAAATAATAAAATGTCCCCTCCTCTTTTTTTTTGGTCTAAGTGATAAGCACACATTCATTGCTATTTAGCACGCCAAGTCTAAAATTTTCACAGTCTGGAGAGTTTTACAAAAATCTTTTGTAGACCCCTGTACATTACTACTAGCATTATTTTGCATTTATGAAAACAGCATCTGCATTATAGCATAAAAATAATACCGCATTGCAAACAATTAACTGCATTTTTAATCGTAGTAAAACTTTGCATGTGTGTATGCCGTAAATCCTTTGTAACTGTCTTAACTGTTAACTTTTATTTATTTTGTGTGCTTATGCGTGATTTATGTGTTAATAAGTGCTTGATTAATTGTATTCTTTTATATGAGTTTTATGAGTTTATGTGTGATGTATGCATTTTATGTATCTATATGTCTTACTGGATTGGATACATATGTAAACTGTCTGTTCAAATTTAACGTCAGTATCATCAGACTATCTCTCCCAAAGCCAAATGTAATTCATTCAACAACCTTTCCTTGTCAATGTTGCATTTAACACCAGAAGCTATCCCACCATGAGGTGCCTCATGGCCTCAAGGGAAGTCTCGCTGCTACAGATAGTAATGGGGGCGGTACAGATAACTGTCTACCAGTGTTAGCCACCACGTGTCAAGCCACCAGTGTAGCCACCACGTCACCACGTATAAAGTGTTAGCCAGCACGTGTTCTCGTCTTCCGTCACCTGTCACTTGTACATCTCGGCACTTGCATTCCAACCTCCCAGACACAAACTGAAGAAATATTACGGTCTGGATTTTATGTTATGTAGTTGAAGCTGGGTTCTAAGAAATGCGGGTTATATTTGAATGTGCACCTCTAGAAATCGAAATTATATATAACCATGTCAGGTCATCACATATACAGAAGTTATAGAGAAGTAATTCATTTTTAATGGCATATCGCATGAAAATTTGGTATATAATCTCTTACAAAAAAAGCAATAATATTCAGCGACGTACAAAGTTTTATGATATCTTTACTTCCTATGTGAACGAAATGTACATTGAACCCTTTATATTGACTAGTTTGGAGCTTTTAACATTTCTATTAAATGCTATTCCCTTGGAGCAAGTAAATCAAATACAATTCACGTAGACATTAATTAGTTATTTATAACTGCAGCAATCACTGAAATTTCTTAAAAAATTACTACTTTTCTGATAACTTATTATCATTTTAACAAGCTTTTATGTATGATTTTAACAACAGAAGTGCTTTCTGCCTAAAAATTTTTTCAACATAATTTCTGAGGTTTGTTAATCACAGTTTTCATTTATTCTAACTTCTTATTTTCAGGCAATAAAATTTGCATCTCTCAGAGAATTAAATTTAGCGTTAAAATAAGACTTTTAAAATCTTTTAAGCATTTCCTTAAATTATTTCTTCTTTTTAACCACAATATGTGTCTTTGTTTTCAAATAATAAGCTAAAATTAATTTTATATTAAATCAAAATCAAATGCACGTGTAACAATGAAACGCATATCGAGCTTCTAAAGTTCAAATAATTAGCCTCATACACTTAGCGCTTTTGTTAATAAAATATGTGTCTGGAATTTTGAGGAGATATCAAAATTGGAAGACATTAATACCGCAAGTAATTTTATGCAAAATATTACTTCAAGTAATAAATAACTAATGTAAAATGAGCAAAGGAAGAAATGTTCAGCTTCAAAACTTCAGAAATATTTTCATAATTTATCAAAAAATACTATATAATATCAGAATAAAAATTCATATACTGATAAATGGTTGGAGACTCTGCGAAGGAAACTGTATAAATTATGTATCTAGGTAAAGCTGATAGGAAACTACATATTCATGAAACGAAAATATGGGGAAACCGAAGGTATTTTACGCCCGATCTGAGGGAACAGTTCGAAAATAGTGAAATCAGTTTTTACGTAGGGTATTAGAAATGCAGTAGTCCTTTTATTTTTTTTAATATTCCTGTTAGTTTTTTATTGGAATTTGAATTAACTTAAAAATTCCAAATCTAGTATTATTTACGCATACTGGCACAAACAAAATCTGTTTAAGATAAATATGATTTAACTGCGTTTATTATAAATGATGTTTCGTGTGGTTCTATTGCATGAAGCTTCTTAGTAAAGTTATATTTGCACGTATGTTAAATTGATATACAAACATGTTTATTCGTGAGCTCTCATAAATTTATAATCTAAGAATAAGTCTGAAAATATATACAGCCTATAAAATTTAAAATATCTTTACCTGAAAATTTATATGTAGTTATTGTTAAAATAGCAATCAGATTTTTTATACAATTTTAAACTTACGGTAGAAAGAAAATCACATGCATATGGTGATAATAAATATTGACTTACCAGTGCAGAAAGGCTTAGATGGTATCACATCGGGGCTGTCATCTTCAAAATGTTTCAGTTTGGGTGTTTGTATTCTGAAATAAAAGCCACGAATGATTTCTGTGCGTTTAAAATGCGTTGCCTTATTTTACCGATCGTACAGATTCAACAACATTAAAACTATGCTTCGACAACATATATACATATATGAAAGATAAGATAACACACATAATATGAAAAGGGTGCATGCCGTCGACGAAAGTTGAAAACCACTGGTCTAAATATTTCCCTTCCTCCCCCCCCGCGAAAAAAACCGTTACGATCATTTCACAGTTGTGTAAGATCGCATAATATGGATTAATTTAAAATTATGCTTTTTAGATTGATATAGTTTATAAGCACTTACTCGTATTAAGATAGAAAAAGGATATCTCAGAATTTAACTGAAGAATAGGGTGCTATTGTAAATTAAATTTAGAAACTTCCTTTTATTATTTTTATCTTACATATCTAAATATAAACAGAAGGAAAGTAGAAACATTTTAGAATCCTGCGCCTTGGCTGCAAAGATTTAATTCATAATCAAATAAACGAAATGGAAATACTATCAAAAGTGCAAATTCAGCCAAAACTTGAAATTTCAATTTAAAGCCAAAATTAATTTGAATCAACTAAGTAATTTAAATGCCATTTCCATAAAGTAAAAAATCGGAAAATAAATAAATTGAAAATAATTTTAAAATGTAAGGATTATGTTAATTTCATTAACAGTTAAATTTTGAATTAATCTTTCCTATCGACTCTTAATTTCAACTTACCACTTCCGGCCAGAACGTAGTTTTAGAATCACGTCTGAATGCTAACGAGGAAGAGCGGTATTTAACGGCGAAGTTCTAGTCTTAGGGAGAGAGATACCAGATATTCTGGCTACACGCATCCGCCTTTTCAGGCTACTATTACGTTCTGCCGTACTTTAGGCCCTTGATAGCTTCGCAGTCAATTAGCGTTAAGGTGCCAACTCTGTTAGAATTTTGATGGCTTCGGCTATATTTCTTCAGTTAAGATTAGTTTATTTTGATTCTTAGTCTCTTAAGTTCAAGCCCAAGTGTTGGCTTTATTGTAGAACTCCAAGACGGAGTTATCTTAAATCTTATTTGAATAATAAGGGGTTATTTTACCCTTCTACCTTGTTATTTCCTGTCACACGAACTCAAGCGATTATTCACTTATCAGTTCGTAAGATTCTTCACTTTCAACGGTAAATTAGAATTACACAGTGGAGAATCCTACAAATTGTAAAAGAAAATTAAACATGAAGTAAAGAAAGGAAAGAAAAAGAAAAATTATCTCTCAAGCATTAACTAATAGTAGTGGTAAAGCAAATTCAATTGAAATGCAAATTAAATGAAATACGAATTAAACGAGAATTAAAAAAAATTAACATTTGAAAATTTAGTGAGACAATGCTGACTCATCTGGGGGTATTAGCTTATCTCACTCTCTTCCCAATTGCTCAGACATCGTGTTTCGTCCTTATCATGTTCATATAATCTAAACAACTTTTATAAAATTTTTATTCATTTTAATTATCAATGTACCGTAATGAGGAAGCCCGTACACATGTTCAAGAATTCCCCTACACGATGTAAAACATGTTAATGCAGTAATTTAAAAATGTAAAAAGCGCTAGAAAAATACACAAATATCAATTCAAGATATCAAAACATGTAAATAAGATATTTAGAAAAATAAAAATAACCTACATTGCAAAAATATTGAATTAAATTAATAGTGACATATTTAAAATAATAAACTAGTCCAGAAAAAGTTTCAAAAGCTTCGATAAACTTACTTCAATATAACAAACATTTCAACTAAACAACAGGCTGTTTTCCTAATTCCAAGAGCAAGGCGAATCTGCAGTTGCCAGTGGATATTTTACTTATTTCATCGTGTAATTTTACTTATCTAACCACGCATTATTATTAGTTGAATAAACAATGCCTGTAGGTGAATTGTCTATAATATCAATAAATTTAATAAAGAAATTTCGAAATAATTGTTTAATAATATCCAACATTGTGAAGTTTTTTAGAAATTTCATTCCCTCTTATCTAAAAAACTGTATGTTAATAAACTGTGTTTTATCATCATTTTTCTACATATTTTTATAATTGTTTAATACATGGAGACACTAAATAATACTTCCAAACACTTAAATAAACCCTAAAGATTGGCTACTTTAATTCTTTTCGCATATGCGGTTATTTTTAATTTTGAGCTCACTAACTAACAGATAAAACATCAAAGAAGCTTTATAACCAAAACAGTAAATATAATTTGGAATAAATAATCTTCAAATGCAAATCTTTAAAAGACTTAAAGTACAAGAAGTTTTTGTCAAACAAGCGGTATTTCATTAATAGAGTTTTTAGTAAAAGTAAAAGATCTTTCCGCTTTCGACTGCGGACGTTTTTATTCCTGTACTCAGCTTTTATAATTAGACTCTTTTTTTAAAAAACTTGTTATTTTTCTACCTCGCCGAGCTACCCATCTTTTATGCCTAGCTTTTTTGTGGCTATCAACGGAAGGATTAGTCAGTTTTCCCTATTTCCTTTTCCTTAAGTTATATAAATTTCATACCGCAATGAAATTACATAGTGCCGACATAATTAAACGTAAAATTTTCTTTGAAATGAGGTAAAGCTTCTAGTTAAATAAATCTAAAAGAGCAGCGTGCAAAAACATATGCCTTAAAGCATATTCGTCTTGCTAACGCCTAGTTGTATTGAATGAGACTCCTCTTGATGTTTTTATATTGTTGTTTCTAGAAAGGAATGTTTTATATATTTTAGTTTCAAGTAAAGCTGGTTTATTTCCTGGGCGGGGGGGGGGAAGAAAATTGCTGTTTCTATGGATTGCCAGACACATGCATATAGTCTGAAGTGTCTTGGTGGTGAATCTTTTTAGTGGATTCATGACGCATCTCCTTTTCCATTGTGTATGGATAAAATATAGTAAATAAGGCACTTATAAAGCGAATTGAGAAAAATTAAGTAGTTATATTTATTGCATGTCAGTATGATAACCTTCTCGTTTTAATTAGAGAAAAGAATAATCATGAAATTTGACCATTTGTAGTAAACTATAAGAAGCAAAATCTTGTATCCTTCTTCCAGAATTATAAAAAATTACTTCAAAAATTGATTATTAAAATGAGTGACAGCTTTAAAATCAAGATTAAGATTATAAGGTATTTCTATCGCCTTCTTAACATGCCTTCCTGGTGTAGTGGTCAGCACACTCGGTGCGTATTTGAGAGGTCCGTGGTTCGAGTCACGGAGAGGGCATTGCTCATTTTTCCATTTATTCTGCTTTCAAATAATACCTAATGTCTCTACAGTGGCGCCCGAGTTAAAACAAGATGACGGATGATGATTCTCCACCACCAGGCATTGGCGATTGGCACCCCTAATCCCCACTCACCCTTTTCTGATCGTATATAAGATATTTCTCCCGCTTTCTTAGCATGCCTTCGTGGTGTATTGATCAGCCCGCTCGGCCCATATTCCGGAGGTCCGAGGTTCGAGTCAGAGAGAGGCATTGCTAATTTTTCATCTCTCCTGTTTTTAAAAAAATACCTAATGTTTCTACAAGATAATTTTACACAGTAAGAGAGAGAGACCATAGAATATCCCTAAATATTTATTATCATATTCGGAATCCGTGCATATTGGTCATAGAAAACGCAGTATTTTTCTATGTTAGCTAATTAAAATATGCAAAAAGATACACCAACTCGAAAAATCTCTTATCGACGTACTCTCGCGATCAGGAATGCGTGTCTGGAAATTATTCCAAATCGGGAAAAAAATTCGGAGGAGAGAAGCCGCAATATCCAGGATATGAAAAAAAATCGGAAAAATAGGATGATGATTGATTCATAAATGAGAAAGCTGAAAAAATTCGCTATCCATCGAAAAAAAGGGCCAGGAAAAAACTTACCTCTTGAACTTGTGTTAATATTATAGAACATTCAGAAAAAAATTGCGAAAATGGCTGAGCTTTTGATTCATATTATACTGAAGCGAGTGAGATTTACTGATCTTAGACAGCAAAGCAAAAGGCAGCTTTGACATCAGCGCCATATTAAATTTTGTTGGATCTAGATGAAACGGTAGAAATGTAAGCATAGTATGTTGAATTCTTTAATGAAAAATGTGTTAGTGTAAGATCTTTGATGAATGAAATTACTTTACGAGACATCAAAGCTACAAGGAAACGAAATACTGCTATATTTTAAGCAGTACTGAAATTTAGAGTTCATTTCAGTGAACATCTTTCTATAATTTTGAAATAGATGATGCCATAATACGCTTACGTCTGGTAAATATCCTCTCAAAAATATTTGCGTGGGCTTTCATAGTCCAAAAATAAGGCAGACATACTACAGGCCAAAATGAATAAAATGGTAATGTTGCTGTAAAAACATCAAAGTCAGAAGGAAATCACATCAAGAAAGAGTGTCAAGTAAGTTTAGTACAGATTAGATCACTGAGACCAGCAAATTAAAAAAGGAAATAATTCGATAAAATTTATCAGAACCAGAAATACCTTGAAAATTTTACCAGTATTAATTATGGGGCGACTAAATTAGTTAAAGAAATTTTTAAAGCAAATTTTTTATCGCAGGCAAATTTTCAAATTAGCTTAATTTTGTACGAGTTTTGATTGTTTTAAATATCTTTAACTACATTTTTATTTTTTTTTCCTTTTCAAAAGTGAAGTTTTGCCCAAACCTAAGGGGTAGCCCAGACTTATCCATTACTAGCATTCTACCTATATGGTAGACTACGTTTATCTATTAAGAAAATACTTAATATTTACTCTTTGCAATATGCTTTTCTCTCTTAAAAATAATTCTTTCAAACTAAAATTTACAACCTCAAAACATGCAACATCTGCAATCTGACTCATTTTCTTAATAGAATTCAAATAAAGATAACTCTTAACTTGAAAGATAGAAATGCCAATTCAGATGCATCACCCTAATGTTGTTCAGAAATCTCGGAAGAACCATTAGAAAAATTTCCGAAATAAACTGCTTTGAACTGGCAAATCGTTACTGAAGTTCCACTGGAAACTTATCAATCAAGAACGGAGGTTAAAAATAAAGACAGGGCGTTAAATCATCGTTTTCCTTTTCGTGTCGTGACATGCGGCTAGGCGTCACGTTGTATGACAACATAATTTGATAAATGTAAAGGATGTGATAAGGATAAATTAGCATAAAGGTTGCGTGACTTAAAGTCGAACAGTACAAATTTCTCATCCATCTACAAATGAGATCACGAAAACTAAGAATCATACTCCGGATATTTGAACAGTTTGGCTCAGCCATTACCGTTCTGAGAGAAAAGCGCAGATCGTAAGAAAGCAAGAGCATTTAAGTTATTATATATATATATAAAAGAGTTGTTTTAAAAACTCTTAAGTTACTAATTCTTCTCAACGGTGCACATATTTGGAAGAAATGGGGCACTTTCTCATATTCACAGAATAGTGCTCTCATTATTTGAAATATGCGCCTGGAGAGAAAAATATGCATGCGCTTTTGTTATTGAGGAATCTTCAAATGTGAAAACTGACAACGTTTAAAATGCATTATTGTATGCTTCTCAGGAATAATTTTACAAGCATTGTTTTTCCCATTTTTACACAATATCGGTCTGCCTTTGTTTTTATCCATATAACTGCTTTTTTTATTCAAATTAACTAACTAAATTAAATTCAGTAAGCTAAGTATCCAAATAATGAGTTTAAAACATTTAACTCAAACAAATCTAAACTCAAAATGGCAGTTTCACAAACATGTTTTTAAAATAGACAAGGTATTTTCTCTCTCCTTTCCACATGCTTCCGTGTAGTAAAGGTAGCACACGCGAAGTATATTCGAGAGGTCCAGGGTTCCAGCCCGGTGAAGACACTGCACAATTCTTACGTTTCCAGCATCAAAACACATAATGATTCTCCAGTGCCGCCTGAACTAAAAAGAGGTGGATGGTAATTCGCCACTACCAGTATTTGGCAATTGGGTCTCCTCATCCCCATTTGCCTTTTAAAAGGGGAAGTATATATGGTATATTATCTCTCCTTTCCAGTTGCCTTCGTGTTGTGACTCGACGCGTACTCCGGAGGTATGGTGTTCGACTCCCGCCGAAGGCACTACACACTTTTCAGATCTTCTGCTTCAAAATAACCTAATGTTTCTACAAATCTTATATTGATATGATTATTGAAAGTTTATAATCTATATCTTAAGCTCCTTATTTTTTACAATTTAAATTTACAAGTGTATATAAATGGAATACAGTCTTTAGAAACTAAACTAAAACCGGAAGATCAATCAAAATTTTGGTTTAAAAAAAAAGATACATTTTTTTTTTCTATTGGTTGTGAGTTTTCCTACTCTTTCATAAGAGGTTAAAAAGGAAATAAATTCAGGCGATTTCTTAACAACTTCAGAATTTCACTGATAACTATATACATGGAGGCTAAGATTTTCAAAAAATTCAGTGTGTCTATATATATAATTTTTTTCTATTATATATATAGACAAAAGAAAAATTAAGAAATGTCAAGCTCAAAGTTTACAAGAAACATTAACACTCAAATTTGATATTTGCAAATAAACCATCAGACATTGTAAGTTGCGTAAAAAAAAGTGATGATTGAAATATCTCAATAATTTGTTCTCAATTTTGATTTGTTTATTAAATAACAGACTTTAGAAGCTATCAAGAACAAAAGTAAATACATATTTTAGAGAAAAAAAAATAAACTTACTTAGAGTAATGATTTATACTTTAAAAGCCTAAACTAGGATTCGAATTTTCTAATGACTCAGTTACTAATTTACGATTAGTACGTACTTCAGCAAAGTGCCCTATAAGTTCATCTGAATAAGGTAATAGAATAACGGTATAAAAATAATGGCATATAAATAATGGCATAAAATGAATTTTTTTTCAACTACGATTTTGTTAAAGAATTCTGTACTAAGTTAGAAAAGTATTGTTTATAGGTTACAAATATGATACTTTGTTTCAAGATAGCGATATTAATCTGATATTTCTTTACAGGTTAACATTAGCAAATGCAGACTGGTAAATTATTTTTTCTGTATCATATTAATAAGGTAATAGAATAATGGCATGGCATATTTATAATTATGTAATAATCAACTAGAATTTCATGCATACGTATATAAGTTAATTATTAATACTCAGCGACATGTCTTTCAAATAGTAAATTCTTCCAGCCCTATGAATACATAAACAGCTTATAACTTATCTGTAAATTCAGAAAGCATAGACATTTTAGATATAGATAATTTAACTTTCTATTCCTGATATATTTAAATTTAATGTGTGTAAGTGAAAATGTCATTTAAAGTAAATTATATGTATATTTGAATAAAATAAATATTAAAAGGTACAGAAATTTAGGAATAACCATACTTATGACGCAAGAAAACCCCTCCTATTCTGACATCTAACATTCAAACAAAATATGAATTTCCAAACTTGCTTTTGCAAATTAAAATTTTACTTAAAAACAGTTTTCACTTTTTAGAAGTTGCTAACTAATATTTGTACACAATAAAAACATGAATGCCTTAAAATTAAATAAAATGCAAATAGATGTTTTATATTCTGCACCTATGTAATATATTCCCTGTTTATGACTATCAGATATGGTTAAAATGACAGCATGTATATTTTTGAAAAGCGGCAGGTCTGCCTCTACACAATACCTAAATTTATCTCGAGTGCGGTGTGCATTTCAAAGCGACTTACTATAATTTATTTCGTAAGAAAATATACCGTGTTTCCCTGGAAAAAATGACTCGGCATTATAATAATTTTTCCTGCAAGACATGATAGGGCTTATTTTCAGGAGTCATTTATTCATGTTCAAAAACTATAGTTATTCACTTTTGAGAAACATTCAAAACTAAACAAAATCATTTATTCCAACACAACCCTGTCGTCTTCTGTAACATAGCTATAGAGGTCTAAATCAGGTTTCCCCGCCTGAATGTTTTGCGACTTCATTTTCTCTAAGGTCTACCCATTTCCTACTCTCTCATGTTCAGGAATACAACCCTTTTCAATTGAGCTATTCTTGTAAATGTAGCCTGCTCATAGGCCATTGTTAACACAGCTGTCCGCTATTTTATCCTGTGCATTATTCACCCAAGTAAAAACTTCTTGATGCTTAGATTGCGCAAAGTTTCCTCATTGATTCCTATCCATTATATTTTTAATATATTTACTGATTTCCGTGGTCAGCAATGTCTTTAAATGGCTTGTTAATTGCAGTATCAAGATTTTAAGAGATACGCAGTCAATCCTTAGGGAATCATTATTTCATCAATTCTTCATTCCGCAAGGAAGTTTCTTATAGCGCCGGGAATGCTGGCAGTATCCCACACTAGCATAATTTTGTAGTCACGCGCAGAAAGAGGGGCAGAAATAAATCGACGAACTTTCTTATTACGGCTGGTGTGCACCAAGCTTTTTCAGTCGTAAGAAGATAAATACCTGAAACACTTTCGATTTACGCTTTCTTGTCCTTAGAGGTGATTAGAGGGGGGTTTTTCTTTCCATCGAGACGTATTGCCAAAATGCATGCAATGCGTGCACTTTCGTAATTATCGGAGGGAATACATATCGCAGGGGCAGTTTTCTGATCAATGGTAGTTTGATATTCTTGATCATAAACATTGCAGCTTATCCATAGCAACCATATTAGAGAGTTGATGTTTAGTAAAGTTGATGCCTTCAATTAAACACTTGAATGCAATGGCACATTTAATCACGTCAGTATTTTCCAATTTGAAAAATGTTTTGGATATTCCCAGAGACGGTTCCTATCGCTGAAGGAAGCCATTCACTCAGTGTTGCGATGCTTTTAATTTGTCTGCTGATAAGTCTAGCTGTGGTTCCACTGCAAGGGCAAATGCTTGAATATATCAGCCCTGAGAACAATCAAACACTCTGCTCTTCTGTTAGCAGTACATTCACAAATGATGTGTTCTAATTAAAGTCAACCTTATCAACACTTAAGCTTCTTGGCAGTTCTTCGGCGACCTATTGACTGAGGTTATTGTACTCTGATCGCCATTTTGGGAATTTGGTAGATCTACGTTTTTGCACAAAGCTTTAAGGTTGTTATCCCTAGAGTCGTCCACAATTCTTTTCCTGTACTCCAAGGAATATCTTGCTCTATCCTTTTGCCCTCATTTTACCTGAGTATCAAAATTTATTATTAAATCAACTGCTAAACGTCCGTTGCTAACGCAACATATTGAATACTGAAGATTTTAATTCGTTGAAATCCACGTACATTTGTTTTGAATGTTCACGTCTGTTGTGTCTGCATTTGTTGATCGGACAATAAGGTGCCTTCTCGGCTGACGATCTTACCTAGGTCTTATTTTAGGGATAGGGTTGTAGGGTTTATATTAGGATTACTTCGAAACATTATACTGGGAGTTGTTCTTGTATTAGGTCTTACTTTCATAGGAAATACAGTATTATTTAATAAAAGTGAAAAAGCCATTCAGTATTGCATATAGCGTTTAACTAATGATGAAATTCTTGTGTCTTTCCTTTTACGTCTGTACCTGTAGTGTTTCGAGCAAGTCAGTTTTTTCAAGTTCTGCATTAATAATATTTACATGCATATTATTCAAGTTCTGCAATTATAATATTTGCATGCGATAAAAGCACATTTAATTATAGAAATTACTTACTTTTCATTATTTTCTCCCTGTTCCACTGAAAAGAGAAAAAAAAATTAACATTAATATTTCAGATACGTTTGAGGCATGTATTTTAAATGAGGGAAAAAAAGGTATTTCAAAAACGCTATAACAATAAATACAATTCTAATATTTATGTTTATTAAAATATTAATGCCTTATTTAATGTCTGAGTTCAGATGCCCTTAAAATGTTTACTATATCAATTGCTATTAAGGAAACTTGAAAGTTTTACAGCTCATCTTAGAAATTAATTTACTAAACTAACAAATAAATAATTGGTGTGTGTGTTATGGAGAAATCAAATTGTTCAAAAAATTACGATAATAAGTAACAACTATATTCTTTATCTTTAAAGCGTAATATGGAATAAATGAGAAAGGAAAGTATATCAAGCGTTTTCTCTAAATAAAAAACGATTTCCTATGAAACTTTTATCTCGCTTAAGAATTTCGTTTTATTTCCCATAAGAGAAATTTTCATATATTAAAGAATAACGGAAATTGCTTAATTATATGGTCTCGTTTTATATTTTGACTGGATTGAATTTAACATTTAAATACATGAAAAGAATTTATTATTTTATATAAGCTTGAAACATATATCACCTTAAAGTATGTAATTTAAAGCCAGATATTTTAAAACTTATTTTTATAATATACAGAGCTTCAAACGTTTGTCGTTTTGCTTTAAAGTTTTCCAAAATAATACACAAAGTTCCAAAAATACAGTCTATAAAATAAGATACTTCCGCAAATAGTAGAACCTTAGAATTTAAACACTAGAATTGCTTATCTAGTAACTAGAGAATTGAAAATAAATTTTCCTCAAATTTAAGTTTTTTCTTGATGTAATGTTGTATTAGTGTAAATATCAACACTCTTTGCCACGTGAAATTATTAAACGAAAGAAAATATTTTCAGCCTTAAATTAACAAATTAAAATGTGCAATTTAAAAATGAAAATTTGAGCTCGTGTATGTTTTTAGGAAGGTTATATTTATAGAACGGTTGAAATCCATTAAAAAGCTATTTTTTTTCGAAAAAATGTTTTTAAATATTTGTAATTAATTCTGTGTTACAGAATAAAAATAGCTAAAGTTATCTAAAGTTTCTATATTTTGTTTTATTTTTTTTAAAGTATTATAAGCCAGGTTTGCTAAATAATACCTGTTTCATGAAGGAAATTGTTATTATTCAACGCTAAATTTATGAAAATATGCTTTTAAAAAATGCATCAAAATACCAGGTTTGGCTATGGTAATATGGCAGTTTTTCCGAAAAAAAATTCTGCAAATAACTGCATATGTTAACTATTTCTGAAGAATATTTTCTTAGGCTAAAATATTTTCAGAAAAGTTATGAAATAATTTAAATAAAGGTTATTAATAGTACAATTCCAAATAACTATGAAATTATATGGGTTTGTATTTGGGAATGACATCTTCGCTATTCAGTCTTTTAGGTTAACAGTGAGCAAGTATCTAATCATATTTCATACTGTGGAATAAAACAGTTCTGAAAAGATTCTGCATCACTTTAATTAGAGCGGTGCATAAATTCTTAATTCTCTCTGAAAATAAATAGTTCATTGTTCTCCTATAAAGAAAATCATGTACAACTATTCAAGCAAATAATAAGATGTTTTATATTTCCGTGATTTGCTTCAAATATGTGAATTTTAAAGACTAATTGCTTTTCCAGTGAATAACATTAAACAAAAGTTATACTGTTTCATTTGCAAAATGAATCTTCCTGGAGGACCCCAAGCAGTTTTGAGCAATACAATCGGATTTAATTAAGGCTAATATGCATAAATAGAAATACTTAAACCAAGCTAAGCCTTGCAAAGCTCTGAAAGAAAATTTCAAAGCAGATTTATTGACTTAATTCCAGGAACTTTTTATGATATTCTTCTAGCTGTAATGCTTTTCGGAAATTTAAATGTGGGTGTAGATTATAAGAATCACCCAAAGCATTTACAAACTGAGTTTTATAAAAGCTGTTCAAAATTATGTATCACAGAATGCAAATTAAAATTAATCATGCATCAAAAGCTATTTATTCACCTAAGATATTCTTCTTTACAATAAATAGATTTTCCCATTTTCAAAATACGTCAAGCCCAGAAAAGCTTTAAATATTAAATATTTTTCAATTAAAGGCAGTTATAAAAAGAAGTATATGCTTTGTATATTTTATTACGTTTATTACACTCTTTCAAATGTTCGATGAGCCATAGAAATATAGTAAAGAAAGTGTTACTGGTAAACATTTTCAACGCGTGCTAATATTTCTCCTTAAATTCAGCACTAGAAATGCCAATTTGTGTAATCCATAGCACAAAACGAGTTTCGTTGTCCTCGCCATTTCTTGCTTTTCAAAGTTAAACTTTATAAACTATTTTTGGGAGCGGTAAAGACGCTGAACACTGGTAGTTCGGTCCGAGGTTCGAATCCCGCGAACGGGCTGGCTGCATGGGCGTTTTCGTGGTTTTCCCCATGTGTAACATGTATACGAGCTAGTTTCCCTTAGACTGTCCTCCACGAAGATATCCTTACCTTTAGGCAGATAGCCCTCGTGTGCTTTGCCATAATTAAATAATCCAGTCCAAGCTATTTTTGACGTATCCCTTTTATTTAAAATTGTTGCTCAAACGGAAAATTTTTAATTAAAAATATTTCTTCGATACGGCATGACAATTCACTGCGGTAGGTTATCGTTGAATTAAGGTCAATAAGGCCCATTGTGTTCCATTTCGTGTATCTTTCAACTTCACATAGTATATCATTTGAATTTAATTGTTAGAAAGTGTACTCGCAACTTGTTATCTTATATATTTCACAATATGGGGATAATATAAGTGATGAAAATGGGATCAAAAATATCCCGAAGTATTCATGTTCAGTTTTGAACTGCGTAGGTACTATTTACTGAATTCTTCGTTTTGAAAGCGATTATTTATATATTTTTTCTTTATTTTGAATACTTTTAAATGTTTTCGATAAAAAACGGGACACTACAAATCATATTTATTTTATCTCAAGGACACTGAGAGCTACAAGAAAGATAAACAAAATTCGACTTTCGATAATCTTTCACATGAAACATTGCGAGAATGCTAAATGAACTTCCATAAAATAAATCTTGTGATAAAAATTGTCAAATGATAATAAATTATTAAAATATTTTTCCTGCATTTTTAAGAAGAACGAAAAACACGGTTCTTGTAAATATAAAACGGACGAAATATGCATCTCCTTAGCTATCCTTGCAGAGTCATTTGGTTTTATGATGCTGGAGACGTGAAAAATGAGCAATGACCTCGCCGGGACTGGAACCTGGACCTCTCGAATAAGCGCTGAGGAGAAAATTCGGACCGTCACTTGTGATGAAATGCGCATTTACCTCAACAACACAGGCCGAAAAGGGGTTGGTCTGCACCCGGTGAACACGTCAGCAGCGTCGCAAAGCGCGATTTTACTAATGAAAAGATCATGCTCTGTATCTGGTGGGATTGCAGTGGTGTTATCCACAATGAGTATCTGGGAAAAGGTAAAACCCTCGACAGTTACGTGTTCAGCGATATGCTAGTCCGTATTAATGCTGCTATCAAAGATAAATGTCGAACTGAGTTTCGGCGCAAAATGGTAACGTTCCATCAAGATAATGCAAGACCACTTGTGTCTGCATTCACCAGCTGGACTCTGTACAGATCGAATTGGATCTTTTAACACACCCACCATATAGTCCCAATATCTGTCCTAAGAATTTCTACCTTTTTTATATCTGCTGCTACATCTTGCTGGTGCTATTTTCCATTCTGCACAGGACGTCCAAAATGAGGTTACCTGTTTTTGAACTCGCTGCCGCCAAGATTCTGGGCCGAAGGTATTGAAAAAACTACCAAAATGTTAGCAGAAAATCAGAGATTTGGATGATGATTATTACCAACATTAAAGCTGTTCCTTTCATGTTTTGTTTAACCTTATCAAGAACGTTTTTTTGGTGGATAAATTTTGTTACAACCAGATATATTAGTAATTCCACATCTGAAGTGAACATTACAAGATGCTGCTGATTAACAAGCAGTTATGTTAGAAATTTAATAATTCGTCTTTTTTAGAAGTATTTGGAATATATAAAAAAACCCTTAATATTCTAAATTTAGCTATCTCTGATGTTAATAAAATGCTGGAAATTGCGTGAGATTGGTGAAAATGAAGTCTGGATCACATTCCAAACTAATACCAAAGAATCGCAGATTTGTTGACGAAAAATCAATCAAGACCCAAAAATTAGTACTTTTGCAGATTTAGAAAACTGATTTCAATAACGTTAACCCTGATGCTTTCAGAAGAGTCATTTAAGGCAGGGTCAACATTTTATGTTTGGGTCGGAAAGACATATTGATTTGTGACAATATCCAAATTAAGAATATAATTCGAAAACCTGTTGTCTAATGATAAGCACATGGGTAGAGGCACAATGGTTTGTGGATGTTTCATTGCTTTTGGAATAAATTTAGAGTTGATCGAAAATAATATGGATTAGTATGAACATGTAAATATTCTTTATGAAAACAAAGTATCTCCAAGGAAACTTGGAATACAAAAATACATTCAATTTCTATCAGGATAATGATCCTAATCATCTGAAGTTATTAAATCTTCTCCATAACGCCTTAGATCTAGATCCTCTGGAATACATATGGAGAGAGTTGGGGAAAAGAATAAGGATATCTGATACTTCCTCAAAAGCTACAGAAAAAAGAATTCTTGCTTAGGATTGCAACATTTTTAAGCGAAAAAAGTAGTTGAATGCATTCAAAGAGCATGAAAATTTAATTTTAATTGAAGGTTATCTATTCAATTATTTAACATCTGGTTATTCTCATGTTTATTAGAAATATAAGCTGTCTATTCAAAGTATTCTAATACTTACGTGAGATAATTTTCAGAACTTTTTCAATATTCGTTTTTTCAAACAAAAGTATTTTGAATATTTTTTTTTTTTT